AGCGTCAAGTCTGGATCAAGCTGCAGTCTTTCAGAAAGCTTGTGATCTTTAAGTCCCACCACTATCCTCTCTCGAATCATTTCGTCGTGGAGTGTGCCCAAGTTGCAGAACTTGGCAAGCTTGTGCAGATATGTTATGAACTCTTCGACGTTCTCTCCTTCTCTTTGACATGTCCGATGGAAAGTGGCTCGCTCATAAACAACCTTCCGTCTCTCGACAAAGTGGTTCTCAAAGGCTTGGAGCACGGCGCTGTAGTCTGTCATTTGCTCTTCAGGTGAACTGAGAGACAGCAGGATATCATCCGCTTTATCCCCCATGAAGTAGAGGAGAGCATTCACCTGTTCTGTTCCTGGCCTCGCGGCGAGACCACTGACGATACAAAATCGTTCGAAGCGGCGTTTCCACGAGGTTCATTTTTCTGCGTTTGCAAAAGTGTACGGCTCGGGGGGTTGATACAAGAAGCTGGACGTGGCCATTACTTTCGTAGCTGCTCCTCTGGCGATGTCGCCTTGGCGCACTTCTGACACCATGTGTTGTCAGGGTCTCAGGAATTCAGTGCTCAAACCAGAGTCCTTTGAGAATCAACCATATAATCACCTTTCTCGAGCGCCCCACCCTCGTCTTCATCGTCGTATCTTCCGGCTCACGCCTCGCGATGACTATAGCTCCTAGCACAGTCCTGACCACATAACTCGTCAGACATAAGTACGGCTGAGCACATCTGGGATGTAATAAGGCGCAAACTCGGAGCTCTCAAATTCCCTTCTCGTAATCTAGAGAAATTGCGCGACCTGTGGTTACAAATCTGATACAATCTTACTGAAACCATGGACCAAGTGAATGTATGATCCACGACAACATGGGTTGCAGCTCTCTTGCGTGCCAAAAGTTGATGAACGTGGTATTAGGTGGGTAGTTATAATATTTTCCTTGATCACTACATGGCTGTATAGATGTTCCTGACATCGCCGCAAAAACTCACCTTATTGGAAAAGTGATGAAGGGATTTTCGAAATACGACGTACACCGCGAGGGGATTACGTGGACACTACCTTGGTTTTGAGAAGGCGATTTGGCGAATTGAGTTGAGAGGACGCTCGCAACTTTAGCAACGGCGCCTGAGTAACGTACCGAAGAGAAAATAAACGAACAACAATATTTTACGGAGGCAAGTCGTGCAGACTCTTTTACATCTCATAACCAAATATCAAGCCACCCTTCTCCTTGGTCTCGACTCTATTCACTGCAATATCTATTATTGTCGTACTTACCAGCACCCTGAAGGCCTTGGCGGTAAGGCAATCAGTAAAAATTAACTAAAACGCACACCGACATTGTGAATAACTACCCCAGTCAAAACAAAAATTAAAAAAAAACGGACAAAAAGACACGCAGCGTTTGAGATGACGTGTGCGCATGTACCATATGCAATTCTTGCTTCATCGCTGGATGAAGCATATGTAGAAGACACTCAAATATCCACGCCAAAAATATTTTTGAACTATGGATCTCTCGTTAGTGAAGGGGGTTGATGTCGGTAAGTTCTTACTTCAGGTGAACCCCACAGCAACAATAACTATACAAGCATGATGGTTCTCGTTTTAAAAATATATATTTCAGTAGAAACCGCTAGAAATTGCGTTTTTCCATATGTTGAATTAGCAAAACCGGTCACAAATTATAAAGGTGCTGAACTTGAAGAGTTTACATCTCCCATAGATATTTATTTTTTCATAAAACGTGAACAAGCTATGTTTTATTCAATATTTATAAGGACTTCGACCGTCTGTCGTAAATGATATGTAATTGAAGATATTTTATATTTGTGAAATTCTCTAGTATGTATGTGCAAAGAGACGTCATGTATCACGTAAAATATTAAAGTTGGAATCAGAGAAGGTAGTACCCCATCCACTGGAAACAGCGGATGGGGTTTTAGAGAACAGAAACTAATGTTTGTGCGTTCTGAATCACGATTACTGAAATAATTAAAAAAAAAAAACTCGACATCAACTGATTTAAAATTTTTGCGATGAGCCTAATGAAGAAACTGCTTGCTTCGCATGAGGTTCATTTATCTAAAAACATTAAAGTGGGACCCGTCTTTCATTTGTGCAGCCATGCATTTTCATTCGTTCCAGCCTAGCGGCTATATTTTGACGTCGAATTACGTCTTTCTCCGTGCTTTGAAGTGGGTGCCAAGTTGAAAGATCGATGTCGCGGAAATCAAACAGATAACAGCGGAGCGCCGACCGATTTCTATCATCGTGGTCACTGACGGCACGCAGTGCCTGCTGCCGAGAACCCCGCGGTGCGCACGCGGGTCCTTTTCATGGTAGAGCATTGTTTAGCTACAACCGCTTCCCCGAAGTTCTTGGACGTTCTGGCCTACTAATGCACACTAGTTATCCGCAGTACACCATATCAGCTCACATTCTCACACTCCTTTACATTCGCACAACCTTCGAAGGACCTGACGAACTTGACGTTGTTTTCGACCTCGTCCTAGATGTAGTTCTTCAGGTCCTCGTAGATGTTGTTCTAGACGTCGTCTCTGACGACTTCCTTAAGGTCATCCTAGAGGTCGTTCTTAAAGTCGTCCTAGAGGTTACCCTAGAGTTCGTCCTCAAGATCGCCTTAGAGGTCGTTTTAGACGTCGTCTTTGATGTCGATCCTATGACGTCGTCCTCGACGTCGTCTTGTACGTCGTACTTAAGGTTGTCCTATAGAATTCATATCGTAATTCATAGACAACCAAGAATAGTGGTTTATGCAGCAAATTCTTATCTGCTGGCTTGCTCCATTGCTCGCTTCAACGCGACGCGTTCCTCTCTCATTGAATCGGCGATATACGGCGCTCCGGCAGCCGTGATTCTACAATCTTCGCTCATCGCACTGGACAACAACCAAGAGGCCGAGCTCGCGTCTTCTGCGGCACGAGCAGTTCACGCGACTCTAAAGTGCGACTCGGCGAAGCGTTAGCTTCCCCCCCTCTCATTTCTTGTTCAACCCACACCTAGTTTTACGGAAATTACACAGCATAGTACACCTATGCACCGACCAATTTTTTTTTTGTTTCTGGTGCTGGTGCCGCCTTGCACTTCCTGCGCAAATGAATATAGGCTGTTCAATATCTCAAACCTTAAAGAACAGTTTGTTTTTTTGTTGCATTTGTTCGTGGGATACGCTTGGGCACGTGTGTGCTTGTCTTCGAAGTGCTGCTTCTCACAAGTTAGAATGATAATTGACCCTGCTGCTTTTGAGCCACGGTGTAAGAAACACATTTAGGTGATGACGCTCCTCGTTATTCGCAAGAAAAACGATGCGAGAGGGCGCTACGTCGAAACTAGGAGAAACGCAGATTCACCTCGGTACACGCTTCGGTGGTGTAGTCGCCGAAATAATTACTGCGCCGATGATAGGTGCAAAAAACTAAAACAAAAAGCCCTATACCCCGTGTGGTTTCAGTATCGGTTTGCCCCCGGCCCCTCCAAACTGAGCTGTCTTCTTTTTTTTTTTTTCACGTTAAGCGCCCTGCTTGAGCATATGATAAAAAATAATGTTTTATTTTATAGTGTTACTTTTGCCTGGCATGTGTGTTTACGCGTATTTTGTTAAGGTGTGCTTCTTCCTTGTTTCAAAATTGTAAATCTACGTCGATCGACATCGCACATTATGGCACATGCAGCCTTTCACTGCGTGTGTGACTGATTATGGCCTATACTATTTCTGAATTAAATAAGTTTGTTTTGTGTTGTTTTTCTTCGTGGGACATGCTTGGGCACTTGTGCGTTTGTTTTCGATGTGTTGCCTCTTACAAGTTTGAGCGATCATCGACTCTGAGGTGATTGATTTCCTTATCAAATCGGAATTTGATGACTCAAACAAGGACGTTACAGTTTCGGATAAACAAATAACTAAGGACGCTCAAAATGGTGACCTCAGGGTGCGGGGTGAAGTTCCCACTGCACAGAGCCTTGCATCAAAAAGTAAGATAAAAGAAATTTGTAAAAGGTTGGAGACATTCAGACATCAAATAGCTTTTTGCCCATAGAACCGTGCGTATTTTATAAACAAAATATACTTCACAGAGCTTGTTCAAATATCATTGACACCAACTTTCGCGTTTTGAATGCGGAGAAAAGACCCGGCACTCAACCCGTTACTTTCGACCGCAGCTTACGCTATGCTTCCATTGAGACGAACGAGCAGCGCCAAAAGTGAGTCCTCACGCGCTCCTTGTTTTTGTGCGTTTGCTACCGCGGCTTGGTCATTCACGCACAAAGAGTTCGCTGGATCATGCCGCAATCTCCGCGCGTAAATGGGTTAGCTGGTAATAAAAGATGCACAGACATTGCACGTGGCGATGATGCATCTTTCGTGCTGCATGACCGACTCCATCGTATTGTAGGCAGGGAATTTTAGGGAACCGTTTTTGCACATCCGATACGGTGCGATGGTCCATCCGGTACAAGCTGCGCATGCGCTACCACAGAACACTCACATACGGGCAGTTCGTACTGGAGAGCCCATCGTGCCGCATCCGATGGGCAAAAACGGTTACCTAAAACTCTCTAATGCGAAACGGAGGATACCACCGTCGGAAAAAGGAAATCGCCTTGGACGATCTTTGCTATTCTGGAAGCCACGGTTCGCGGTGGGTGTTCTGCATAGAGAGCTCCGCCATGATTGGCTGGAAAAACAAAGGCATGTGGTTCCAACACAAAGCTAACTAAGAGCAAAAGGGTGTAGAAATCGACCCTACGACCTTCAAGCCTTTTTGATTTATCAACCGGATTCCACGTGCTTTATTAACTTTTGTTTTTACCTCAACGTATGGCGTTGGCGACGTAGCAAACGCCTAGCAGCTGTAGCATATTGAGATCCATGATGCTCCCACGTGCAGTGCCGAATAAAACAAAATGCATAAAGATCTAAAGTATATATAGAGGCATTCTTGGACAGAAGCAGAAAGACAAAACTTTTAATAAACGGTCGTGATGAGTTCATCTTACTATGCTTTCGTGGCTATCTTCTCGACATTGTTCAGTAAGTATACTTGCAGTTTTAATATACTGTGCCGCACTCGAATCTTTCAAGAATGAATAATTGTCAAAACAAATTAGAAAATCGAGAAAGTAACTTTGAAAACAAAGTTGCTTAGATATAAATGTATTCTGAGAAATCGCTGGGCATCTTTTATAGTACTAATGTAAAAAGTCAGCGAGGAATGCCACACATAAATATTATCTCTGTAAAGTCTCCGACGTAATCTCAATTAGGTTCTTACATCCAGTAAGTGTGTGTTTCGTTATTCTTTGAGCCGTTCAATTAATTTGCGGTCGAGGACTTAATGAAACTTTTTTTTTGTTTTAACCCTAAACAAGTGTTGCAAAGATATTTGCGGGTTTATTTGGATTTGGGAAGTGGGATATACTTGTATTCTCCAATTTTCTTTGAATATTATATCCTCTTGCGTATACCGCGTGAAGGGTAGCGCTTTAAATCCAGACATTTGTTTAAAAAAAAATATTTAATAACTTGGAAATACTGTCGGCTCCACTCAAAGAGCCTTAGTAAGAGTGGACACACTAAGCGACAGAAAGTACAGTCATAAATAAAATCAGAAAGAGGGAAAATTCAGGTAAGCAGCAATTTCACATCAGTAATGAAATTTTCAACAGGTATGAAGACGACAATATCGTTTGGTAGCTCATTCCAATCTTGAATTGCCCGAGGAATAGAACCCCAAGAAACGGGGAAGTACTTTGAGATAAAAAAAAAAAAAATTAACGACCGTGACATTCTGATTGGACCCCTAATCAAACTGTTATACCAACTGGCCCTAGAGACGTTTCTTCTTTTTTTTTTTTGAGGGGGGGGGGGCAATTTGTGTATTTGGTATTTATCGGCCTATAAATTGCGCCATTGCGTAAACCACATCCCCCTCTAAATTGCCGTTTTCAGAGAGAAAAAAAGTCATATATAAAACATGATCCTTAAAACCTAAGACTGGGAGATGCGTAAAACAAAATAGAAGAAAAATAAGACAGTGGACAGACATAAATAATATAAACAATTCGCGAGCACTTCGTTCATTTTCTTCTCCTAATTGTACAAACTTGCACGACTTAAGTTAGATTAAGCACATAAATTAAATGTGCCACGAAGCAATGAACAAGCTTTTGTTTTTAAGACGAAATCTGAACCGTGCTCGGCCTAAAGCGAAGTTAATGGCCTACATAGCCTATATTAGGCCTAGCTTGGAGTACGCTGCATCGGTATGGGACCCCTATAAAAAAATAAAATCGATGAATTCTAGAAAGTTCAGACGAAGGCGGTGCAATTTATTTTATCCAAATACAACCGACTTGATGCTGTCACAGATACGCTGAACGGCCTCAATCTCCCCTTACTTTCCGTCCGTCAAAAAATTGCTCCACTAAAGTTTTTCTTTATGTTTTCTCATCACCTGCATAATATTGACCCGGATTCTAAATTAACACATCGCGCATCGAAAAAACTCAGATACGTTAGCTCTAATCAGTTTGAAGTGCTCAAATGTAATCTGGACGCTTATAAGTTTTCTTTTTTTCCCTAGAACTGTAATAGATTGGAATAATCTCCCACAAAATATTCTGCCATCGAACTGTTTAGATGAATTTGAGAGCGCTTTCTGAATATATGTGAATTGGATTGATAAAAGGTAGCTCTAATGTTTTTGATATGTAGTAGATGTTGAATGCTGAGAATTTGTTTTGTTTAGTGCTAGAAAATACGTTGAATGTTTGCGCTGTTTCAGCCTTTTTATTACAAGTAGACGTCGCTGAATGTGTACTGTATTGTAGTCCTGATATTGTATGATTGAGCGTTCTCCTGTACCCCACGCCTGTTAAAGCCCCGCACCTAGGGTAAACAGTATTCACAAATATATATTTTTTTTTAAATAAGTCGCACATTTTTGTACGGTGGGCAGAATCGCTGTTGCCACTAGACGAATGCTCTTACGTTTCTGGTCGTTTTTGACCGCTGGAAGAGCAAGACATTGGCGAGTGCTCTGCTGTTCTTCAATCGTCGAAAACGTGCAACGACCTACATCTTGTACAGTTAAGGTCGAAACGTATAAAAAACGGACATACGTCACTTTAGAAAAATAGCGAAAAAGAAAGAATATGAATTAAACTAGTATGACGGCATTTAAAAATAAAACAAATTAGATGTAAATTTGACCAAAAGGTAACTGCAATCACGAAGCTGCAGATGAAAAATAACCCGAATCGTTTTCTAAGAAGGCTTCAAAAACAAAGGGCGCCAAACACTACTCAGGCTCAACGAATATGCTGAGAGGAATGAAAATAAAAATGGCAAGAATCTATAAAAGATAACTCCGTTATATAGCACGCCCCGCAAAAAATATTCTACAACCGATTGTCGCACTTCTTCGTTTCCCTGAGTACGACTAGTGTTTCAAGCAAATTCTCTAATGTCGTGGTGAAATAATACATCTTACAAAAGACAATTGGAAGACACTAACTGAGGCGTGTTTATTCCTGGTCTCATATTGTGTCACATTGGTCATGTCGCATTGGTCAACAAAAACTTTCTTCAGACGTGCTCAAAGCATATATATGTGCAAAGCAAAGGTAACCTAACCTAACCTAACCTAATTTAACCTAACCTAACCTAACCTAACCTACCTGAGACGTTTCAGAAAGAAAATTTTCTAAACGTGTCTGTAGAGCATACCGTGTTTTTCTTATAATGCATCAGCAGTGCAACTGTGGCTTCTTAAACGCCTCTCAAAAAGTGATGCTCAGGTACTCGCAGACTAATTTGAACGTCGCATCACCGATTAATTTATGTCATTCATACAAATACCTGCCTTCATCCCAAAGTGTGTATAGTCGCTCAACGGGGCATTCCATCTGAACAGGCTTCGCATTCCCGACTAAAAGTGGAGACAGGTTGTGGCCGCCGTCTCCAAGCCAAAGAACAGCGCTTCGATTTTTTCCAGACTGCACTTTCTAGACTAGTAGAGCTTTCTCGTCTGTTCTGGCTGATCTCAAAGAATGAACAATATAATCACGTTTTCTCGGTATTGCCTGCATGTGAAAACATTAGGCCACATACTGCAGTCAAATCCTATGCGCAGCAAAAAAAAAAAAAAAACTTTGGAAGAAAGTAAAATTAAAAAGCCAGCAGATATTTGTAATACACTTGCCAACAAAAAATTACGTCAATGCTAACGTCAAAGGAAATTGATTGCTTAAATCACATAACACACTCGTTGCCTCACCCAGCGTACAAGTAGCGTATAATCGTAAAAAAATATATTGTGTTTCTCGTGACTTCTATCTGGGCGTAAACGTTTGCGGATTGCATAACAATATCACTTCAACAATGTGCAATAACACGTGCCTCGACTTCACACGTGAACATATGAAGAAATGGGCAACCCAAGCAAAAAGAAAATCACAGCAGCTCTTGGGCTATGCGAGGCAGACCCCTACGCAATCATATGCCGCAAGACGTCATGCAAGATAGGCCTGGCAACGAACGTTAATTAAGGAGCAAAAGGTGCCATTCCAAGAAGGCGTGCGCCCTCTTTGTCTCCATAGTTTGTCCAGAACCTGCTGGCCCGATTTTTCTATCCTGCTGCGTACTGGAGGAGTAAACTAAACTAAAGGAAACTAGGGTTCCTAGAGGAGGTGATCGGTATAGGTTCCAAAATCCACCACAACGGTCACCGCGAGATACAATTTTCAGCGAGGAGAAGTGATCTAACTTTTAAAAATTATTTTTGAAGTATGACTTTATGACGTGCTTCTCGGCTATTCCAGTATTTACAAAAAACTTTGACCATATCCGTAAATTCATGTACATTTCTCAAGTTTTTGCATACTGAAAGTTATTTGAATGCTCCTTGAAATACGTTCCGATTAGTTCCTGAGCATCCTGAAAACGTTTGGTGGGTTGCCGTTTGCAGTGCTGTTAGCATATCCGCGCCATCACTTCTCTTAGATGCAGGGCTCATGTCTTCCACTTTCGTGGTTGTCTTTGGCAAAAGGCTCTAAAGAAATTTGTGCAGCCTGACCAGATTTAAAATCCAATGTGACAAAGTGAATTGGTCCGTCATTTTAAATCGTTCATCTAGTTTAGGAAATAAGGATTATTAGTTTCAACTTCTCTGCTAGAAGGCGGACCGTTATGTGGTTATGCTTTTTAGTGCGCCTTGCATTTGCGGCCACTTCCTTGGGAACGTCCTTCCTTTCGAGGTCAAAGTCGACGTTCGTCTTTTTCTCAAAGCGCCTCGGATCAACAAGTACAGTGATTCCGGAAAAACGTCATGTCCATGGTCATCCCTTCCAGAAATACTCTTACTCATATTTGCTCGTCACTCTCAAGAAATATCGAGGCTATTCTTTTAAGAGACCCCAAGTTTGCTCGGTGTCCGTACGTATACAAAGAGAAACTAACGCAAAGAAGCAGATGAGAGCGCAGAGGGGGACGTCAGAGGGTCCAGCCCTGTTTGGAAGGTTAGAGGGGAGACTCAAAGTTTAGCTGCCTTGGTCCATTCTCACAGTTCGAAAGCGTTAGAACGCCAAACGGCGGCATCCGAACGCTTGACTCTGCGCAAGGAGCAGACAAAGCTGTTATTCGCTTTTGATTGGAGGCAGACGGTGGGTAGAGACGAAGGCAGCAAGCCTTTCCGTGTACCCACTAATCCCTCCAATTGAAGCTTGGTGCTCTGACGTACCCGCGCGCACTCATCTCATCCTCGTCTTCAGTTTTACTTTTTATACCAAGGGTGGGCCAGTTGATTATAGTACATCTGGTCGCAGCCTCGGGTTAAAAAAAATGAAAAGGATGTCAGGAGGTTTTGGGTGCCTATAGCGGTTCGTTCCGTTCGAAAGCATCATATGCCTAACCCGTCATTGAAGGTCTTCATAATCCCAGCAGTGGTAGACATCATCATCAGGACTCAAGCTTGTGGAGGAGGCTGACAAGACTGTGTTGTCCTGGAACATGAACCCGGCTACATCTGCTCT